GGTCAAAAACGTCGTAGGGTGGAGGTAGTTTCCGTACGTCTCTCCTTTAGACAAGTCGGTCCTCCTCTACCCAAAGGAGAGGTCGTCCTCTAAGTCCGAGACCACGGTTTTTGGTCCCGCCACAGACAAAACCGTGGGAGCCGTGGTCACAAACCCTGATGTGCGCAAATGACAATTGCCGGGCAATAAAAAAACCGTCCATTGATCATTAGGATTGCCGCAATAAAAAACTTGAGTCAATGGCAAATGATGTACCGCGCGAATGGAAAAAAAATATATCAGAACCGAGGGTCTGCAACCACTCCGCCGCCGTTGGTCACTCCGCTCTTGTCCTCTACTCTTGACATGAAGTTCATGTCATGAACTCATTTACATGAATCTATGAAGGACACCAGTGTTACGCCTCTGCGGCGACACCCGGCACAAAAACACACAAATAATTGTCCCTGATTAGTACCGCCGACCGCCTCGAGTTCAGCTCAAAGAGGTGGATCTTTTATAGGAGTGATAAAAGTGAAAACAGCTCGTGTTTCTTTATATGCAAAATCCAAGTTACATTCAACACAGAACCGTCCAGTGTTTCTAGGGATTAGATGACGGGTTTTGTCGTTAAGTCTATACAACTTTGTAGACGGTCTTTGTTTGTACGATCCTGTTTCGATCATCGGATCGATTTCTGGTGTCTGGGGGTCTCGGTAGGCTGGCGGTGAGGCGGAGGTGGGGATTTCGTTGTCGCCGACCCTAAAATTGGCTCCCTGACGATCGGTCCCCTTTTCAACTAATTTCGGTAACGTTGCCATCACAACATCTTGTGTACGTCCGATAAAGATGATAAACATAACGATAAAGACTAGGTTGTCTAACATAACAAGCAGCTTACGTTATATGTCGAATGACTTTACTTCCGAGATCCCTTATTACCTCGGGAAAAAATTCCAATGAAAACCCCACATTCATTCGGGAGTCATTTCATTGACTCAATCGAAAACTTTACTTCACTCCATTTGATCTTCACCATTGATCATGACCAAAAGCGTCATTGATCCGTTGTTGTGACAGTCGTTTCTCCTTTCCCCAGAAATATAGTACATTCGATGAGGACCAACGAGTTCTTCCTGTCCCCCCTTAAGTCTATACATAAGATCTAGAGGCGTCAGGCGTCGGACTTAGCGGTGTAACGGACGTCTTTTTAAGGCTTTCGAATGATATTTTGTTCAATGACCCCGATTAACGTTTGGCCGCTAACCAAGTGGTGGTAACTGGACTTTCTGTGTAATGAAAGTACCCACCTTTTAACGAGGCCTCGTGTCTTTCATAGACGCAAAACGGCAGGCTCTATCCGGATGCTCACTTCCTGTCTGAATGCACAAACCCCGATGAGGGCCAACTAGGGGTGCGTGCAAGCTCGTTTCCAACGTGTCGGTGAGCACGACGAGGTTGGCCGACGAGTGAGGTGTCGTCACTCTCAAAACGCCAAAATGGATCTACCTGGAGTAATCAGGTACCGGTCCAGGTCCCTTGTCGTTCGAAACGGTGTCGAGTTTAAATAGGATGTGGCATTGGTTCAACCTGAAACGCTAGTTACTTTTTCTCGTTGGGGCATGGAGTGGTTGTCCGCAACATAAACCCTCACCACGCAGCTACGTCCGCGCGACCGTACGGTGGGACGGTCTCTCGGTCTGCACGCAGGGGGACGACAGCCCGCCAAGCGTCCGACGCTGTCCCCCGTTTTTCACTGTCGAAAATTGACAGTACGGCTGAGACCCAGAGTACCGCCGGACGAGTGTACCATCCATGCCCAACGATATCACGCGGTGGACGTCTCGACCCAAGAGCCCGTCGGACGCAAACCCTAGGGTTCGTGCCGTGTTTGCTCGCAAGACCACTGGTAGGGGGGAGTCACGGGCTCCGTTGGCGCGGCCAAGACCCCAGGGGCCTAGTGGAGGCCTCCCAGAGGTGACCTGCCCATTGGAGAATGTAGTGTCTCAAGTTGCCTGCGCAGGTCTTGTCCTAACCCCTCCCTGACGGACTTCTCCCGATATCCCACCCGCGACAGAGATTGTCTTTGTGTCCGGTGTCGTTGGCAGAGCATCTCCGATGCACATCATCACAACCAAGAGCGTCGTAAAGTACGGGGATTAAGTCCCCCCTTTACATTACCAGTCCTCGAACTGTATATCGTGGTGTCACCGTATGTAGTCTGTCCAATCCCGCTAGGCGAGGCGGCGGGAACAACTGGTGTCGCCCTCTTTGACACCCACATACGCTGAAGTCTCCCACCCAATGAGAGACTCTCGGGGATGTGTAGGGCCCTGACACTCTTGTCCCCCAGCGGCTAGGAGTAGCTCCCGACGGGGAGGTCCCACCTAGGAATATGAGGAAATTAACTGCGGTCTGGCTCTCCCAGCTTGCACGCGGTTTGATTGGCTGCGCTTGCACTGGCGGGATTTGCATAAACGGGATTTGATTGGCTGATGCCAAGCATCGAGCCTCAAAAGTTGAACATTGTTCAACTTTTGATGCCGATAGATGCTCGTGATGCTTGCAAAGCCATGCCATGCTCCCCACAATGCAGTTCGGCGAAGATTAAAAATCTTCTACGTCACCCCATTCAAGTGAATGGGCGAAGCGTTGAAAGCATTTTTTGATGCCTATAGTGTAGACGTACCGTAATACGCCGGCCATAATGCTTCTGTACCCGCATAGCGCTCTGATAGCACTTCCTGCGGGTTATCACTCTCATCTGCGCATGCCCACTAGCTACCTCCCTTACAGGAGCTACAATCGGGGCAGCGAATGGGGAATTTGTAAGGTGAACATTGTGTGTGAGTGTAGAATTGTGATATCAAATGACACTCAGACTTGGATACAGATCAACCTCAGGTTTATTAATTAGACAACATAGGGATCTGTGCATTATATAGGGAGGAGGCGGGATTCGCCCTGGCGTCCGGGTGGAGAGACCTTAGCCCCCCGTCGAGACGCTTCCTCCCCCCGCCAGTAGGTGAATGCTTGCATGATAAGGTAGTACCCATAGAGTCCAGTAGAGGGCGGAGCCTGTGAGAGATATAACTTCGTCTCCTCAATACTACGGCATAGATACAATTTGGAGAATAAACTATTTCTCAACACCTGTTCCTCTGTATAATGTCCATCAGTTACCTGTTGCTGTTACACATAATACAAAGTTCAGTTAGCCTCTGATACAGGGCCGTGGGAAGTAGGGGTGCTGAGGGTGCTCCGCACCCCCTGGTGGAGGACAGGGGATCTGCACTTCTAGATGAAATACAAATATAAAAAAAGAAAAACGAATTAAAAAAAAGTCTATTTAATGAACAAGGCAAAATAAAAATGTGACTTTAGTAAAGGACCAGGTGTCCACCTAACAACATCATGTTTTCTCTCTGTAGCCGGTTTTGAAGGTAAATAACTTAATACTACTTTTCCTTTTTTTATTTTTCCATCTTGATGTCCAGGAAGACTTCCCCACTTTCATGAGGAACCTGTTTATGGGACCGTCCAGTTAGCGGCCTGTCAGCAGTTTTTTTATCCTCATAGACCTAAATAAACCCATGACCTCCTAAAAATGTGGGACTTTACTGCCGAATGGCTCAAGCTGCTCTACGGGCAGTACAAGCTGTTAAGTTCACAAAAGGGCAAAATGAAAGCTGCCAGCCAAGTGTTTGGGTCTCTCTGAGCTGTCTGAGGAGAGTCTGTTCTGGATATTTCAGAGGAGGGAACTTTGATCATCTCAGGAGGGCCTTCGGGAAAGTCTCATATACTCCAATATGGATAATTCAGAGGTTCTATTGTCAGTCTTTAAACCTCAAGACCTTGGAATCTTCTCCTGCTGAATTCATCTGAAGGTCTCGTCAACAGGTGTAGCAGCTGCTTCACTTGGTGTGTGTGTGTGTGTGTGTGTGTGTGTGTGTGTGTGTGTGTGTGTGTGTGTGTGTGTTGG